TCCCAACGCTTCCACCCTCTCTCTCCCGCCCCGCCCCGCCGCCGGCGCCGCCGCTATTCTCCAGCCTCCTCCTCACCGCGCAGCCCCCGGCCGTCCCTACCAAACCACGTCTCGACATGGCCGCCACCACGCCCGCGCCTTGGCCGTAGTTTTGGTCGTCGATCGGAGGTTTGGCTGTCGTCGTCTTTGCCGGTCGCAGAGGGGATAGGACCGTCGGCGACGCACCACGGCGTCCCCGGCAGCTTCCGATGAGAGCTCCACAGTGGCCAGTAGCCGGCCGGCAACCACCCCTGCTGCGTCGAGGTGATCATCACGGCCTCTTCGCCACCACGCCCGCAAGGTGTTCGGCATTTTGCCCACAAAGGTATGGACAGTGGAGACGAGTTTTTCTTCCATCACTTCCTTTGTTCATCGGACGATTCGTCGTCGGATGATGAAGATATTGTGGTGGCTGCACTGGTCGTTCACGGCCACATTCAACGGCTGCTTCCTCGGTACAGGGGGTCACTCCCTGGCCGTGCTCCCAATCTGAACCGCAACAGGGAGAGAGGCCACGCCCTGCTCTATGCTGATTACTTTGCCAACACCCCTCTCTTCAAGATGGATTCGTCGCCGTTTTCGAATGGCTAGGCATGTGTTCAATCGTATCCGAGAGGGAGTGATTGCTCATGACCCATACTTCGAGTGCAAGACGGATGCCCTTGGCAAGCTTGGATTCTCCTCTTACCAGAAATGCACCGCGGCCATCCGCATGCTTGCATATGGAATTCCAGGCGATCTGGTGGATGAGTATGTGCGTATGAGTGAGACAACATGTCTGATGTCAATGTACAAGTTTTGCTAGGCTGTGATCGAGGTGTTTGGCCCAGAGTACTTGAGGCAGCCAACTGCCGCTGATACAGAGAGATTGTTGGCGACCAACGCATCTAGAGGCTTTCCAGGCATGCTTGACAGCATAGATTGTATGCACTGGGAGTGGAAGAACTGTCCATTTGCTTGGCAGGGCCAGTACAAAGGGCATGTCAAGGCGTGCACTGTCATATTAGAAGCGATGGCATCACAGGATCTTTGGATATGGCATTCTTTTTTCGACATGGCAGGTTCTCACAATGATATCAACGTGCTGCAGCGTTCTCCAGTCTTCGCGAGGCTTGCAGAAGGCTACT